ATATTTGACAAGTTTGTAATTTCGAATTTACTTTCGAGCATTAATTTGTCTTTCATCATTTACATCTTTCGAAAATCATCTCTCTAAAGACCTAATGGAATATTAAATTTTCTTATATTTATAAAAGGAAGCAGAAGGAGAGAAAGATCGTGTTGTTCTTGACGATGGTTAATTATTCCATTCGGCGTGCAAATTAGCCCCTCCCCCTCCCCCTCTGTAAACGATTTCAGTCTCCATTTCGAACATTAAATTGGACTAACGATTATTTTGCCGATCAATAATCAATTAAAGCCATAAAAGGCGATGCGAATTCACACGGCGCCGGAGCCAGACTAATGTCAAATCCATTATTTTGCAACCTTTGTAATGAAACGCTCCCGCTCCCGCACCCCATGCATCGCCGTCTCGCGTTTTATTCGATGTAACAACAATGTCTCGGAATCGATATAACTCAGCACACGCCGTGAGCGCGTATATTTAGCAAGCTTCCAATCCAGGATAAAATGTAAACTTCTATAAAGGGAGTATGTAACCTTGAGGATTTAAACACACGGAGGGTTTAAACACATCGAGCTTGGATTTGTCATTCGAGTCTTCGCAATTTTTGGTATTTCATTCAGACACGGGGTTCACGAGAGATCGCGCTGGTGTAACCGCGGGGTAGATCGGCTCTCTCTCTCTCTCGAGGAATCAATCTCCCGCATTGATGAGATAAAATTATCGCTATGAAGGAAGCGATGCCCAAGCCGCCTCATAATCCTCGCAAGCTAGTCCGATTAGTTGTGATAGTTAAAGTTAACGTTGTACGCGTTGCACGTACCTTTTATGTCGCGAAATTAATATCCCGATATCATGATATTCAAGAGATGTCCAAACATTGGTGAAATCTGATCGGTCCATGATCATGTAATTTAAACCATACATTGGAGTAATCAATAAAAATATAGCGGATATCCAATTGCTTTCTTCTATCAATTATTGGCAATATTTTTAAACTTTCGATTATTTAATATATTATAATAAATAGCCGCTACTTAAATTTTTTTTGAAAAAATCTCTGCTTTTTATTTTAACAATAGAGAGAAATATCTTTCTTCAAGAGAAAACTTAATAATATATATGTATGTGTGCGAATGTGTATGTAACCTTTTTAACCTTTTTTTACACATGTAAAACTACAAAGAGCATATATTTAACGTAGGATAGATAGGAATAATTGTATATGCTTATGCTACTCCGCCTTTTTATTTTTATTCTGCTTCAAGATAAATATCAACATCACTCTCTTCTTCATTAATCTTAAAAACAAGTATCCTCCGTGTTAATACCATGATAAAAAAAAATAACTTAATCGTTTAAATTAACACATTCCACATCCAATAAAACTTGAATTATCTCGTCTTAGGGATATAGTTTATACTTTTTCTTACTTCCTATCTAAAATTGCCGAGTAGTCCATTTCGGCGATGTTGAGAGCAATGTCTCATTTTTTCCCTTCCGATGTAACTGCCGGATTACGAGAGTACCAACTCGCATATAAATTTTCTTCATTTCTCCCGGTTGTTAGGAAGAATCAACGCGTTATGACGCGTTATCACGCTACCCTAATACGAAAATCGTGGCATAAGGTGTGCTGGAATCAAGGCCAGGGTCACTGCTTGCACACGCCGCGATCGTCGTCATCGTCGTCGTCGTCGTCGTCGTCGTCGTCGTCGTCGTCGTGTTAGTGTTATTCGCGAGTCGCCGCAGTGCCGATCTCGTGACCTCGCTCGATTACTATGGCATCCGCGATTAGTACGGAGTCGCCCCTTCCGACAGGTTCCTCCGAGAGGAGAACACGGAGAGAGTACCTGTCGCTATCAATGTTAATAATTGTGTGAGCACACAATGGCGGCCCCGCGACCTTAACGTTATCATCAAAATTGAAATCACATTTAGGTAGGAGGTAAAAGCCGCGGCGTTACGTGCCTCGAGGGAAGACGGACGGAGTATTCGTATTATCAATTTATTGATTCGATTATATAAATGGTCACGCTAAAACCCTAGATATTTTCGTACCGCGAGTACAAGAGCACGCTCTTGTTTTCAATGTGAAAGGTCGCGTACGCTTTTCAATCATCACAGTGAGAGGTACCAGCCGCGCCGCAAAGAGATATCGTTCAATTTGAACGGGCTGTCTCGCGGTTTTTCCGCCGCGCATGTTTTCTCCCCCGCTCGCGTCTCGCGCGGCGCGGAGGGTGGATTAGACCGAACCAGTCAACGGTGGAATCAATCGCGGCTCGCCTAACAAATTATTTATCGAAAAACAAGCGAGAAATGTGTGGGTGGGCGAAAGCAGTCAGAATTCTCCGGATAAAAAAAAAAAAGAAGAGAGAAAGAGGAGCCGAAGGAAACGCGCGCCGCGATCGGCGGATCGCATGGACACCACCGTATTATCGTAACGATCAATCATCAGTAAACTTTGACGATACGCCGCATGCAAAGTGCATCGATTTCGCTACGTGCGGCGACGAAAAAGCGACGACATTACGTGTGCGTCAGGACACGCGACCTTGACCCCCTGAACACCTTTCCGCCTGTACGTTGTACGGAACCAGTGTCTGCGGTTTATTCCGGGATAAACTGCCAAGGCCTGCGCACAATCATTTTCGTGCCGGCTCCGATCCAATGGTGTAACGGCGAGCCGTCGATTCTTCCGGAATCAACCCTCTCGCGGTTCCCATGGAACCCCCGCGTGCGTGTCGGCCGCGTGCAATCGCGTCATCGGCAGGTTTTTGCGACGACGATCGTACGCGAGACTCGTTACGGCGTTACAGACGCGTAACTCCGAAAGCTCCATCCGCTTTAACAGTCCTGAAGGAATGCATGCGAATAAAGCATGAACCGCGAAGAAAATCGAGATTGCAAGAAAGATAACGTATCGATGAGATGGAAATCTAGGCGATGTTCTGAGTCGGAATATACTAACGTCAGCAGAGAGGATCGTTTATGTATTCGACACAGCGACGAGAAATGTAACGTGAAAAAAAAAATAACCGCACAGATGAATTCAATTAAAGAATAAATTAATAGTATGAAATATATATATATATAGAGGTTGATACGATTTTCACTAGTCACATACCTAGTCACATAGCTTTGAAATTGACTGGGCTTTGAAATATGAGTCAGTTTGTCACGAATCTCTTTCGTCGTTTACTCGCAGAATGCACATAAAGTGATGACTTGGTGTAATGATCTGCGGCCATAATGCTGCTATATCGTTAATCACTGCGGTTTTATTTATGATTCACAAAATGATTTATACATAAACGTCACCTTATATATGAACCATTTATCTAATATGATCGATGATTCACACTTATCTCATGCTATTAAATAATACTTAAAATTTTATAGTTTCTACAATATTTGCACTTCGTTATATAAATATTTCCAAATATTTAAAATATTAAATTTCTAATAATAAATAAATTCTCTCTAAATATTATTAAATAAAAACAACTTTTATTTTCGTTCATAAAAAAGTTTTTTACACGTAATCTGTTTAAGAGTAAAACGATATAATTATCAGACTTGACGTCTGAACTCGATAATTCGGAAAATCAAAAGTAGCTGTCGTGCAAAAGTGCAATTATTTTTATCGCTCTTTCTTATCACTTAAACTATTAGCCTGGCTACTCGCGCTCTATTCTTGGGTGAGATTTATGTATGCTTCGTTTCGCTCGTTATTTTCATCCGATGTATCCAATTAAGGAACTCTTGGATGTGACACAAATACGCAGTTAGCGTTTAACACTTACTTTGAATGGAGTAACTGTACCCTCTAATTCAACATAAACAATAATTATAATTTTTTTATCAAAACAAAGTATCCTAAAAATCTCAAGATGTTTTTATACGGTGTATTTTGTATATTACATCGGCAATGAAAGAGAACTTTACATAAAAGAATATCAAACGTGGCACTGAGTGATCATCTTAAGGTTCAACGGACCGGGCATTGCCTTTGGCTAGATACTCTGCTATCTTCTCTCTGTATGGTGTGTGTGGGGGGGGGTGTGTGTGACAACTTTCTCAAAAATATCTACCCTTTCATTTTAGACGTTTTTGCTGAGGCTAATATATACGAATATAAATAAATTTCTATTCATCCCCATATAAATGTCATGTTCAATTCCACGTTTCATAGATCATTTGAAAAAAATTTACTTTTTTTCTTCATATGATATTTTTACATAGAAAATATTTCTTTATATTAACAATGTCGTGTAATATAATTTATATTTATTTAATTAAAAAGAGATTACATTTCGTTGATGTTTATAATATTTCTTGCAGTTTCAACAAACCGTATTAACTTACATGCGAGATAGAGTTTGGGAATTTCATTTCTACGTAGCTAACGATTGGCCCGAACATGCAATCTGCTTACATTTTCCCGGAATGACATTATCTGTAAGTATAAATTAAATTTCTACTTTGAGATTTAAGGGAGAAGGAAGTTTGTTCCGATGCAATCTTAAACAAAGTTCTGATTTCTAATAGTATTTTATTACTTGAGATAACATTCCCGCTTGCTCTCTTAATTACATTTTCGTATTTCCAAAAGTTCCTCCAATTTATCTGATTTATTTCATACCCGCAACTTTTTTGTACTTCTTACATATTGGCTCTTTACATCGAGAAACGTAGTAGATCGTTAAAAAAAAAAAAAAATACAATAAAGCTGATTGGATTATTTCGATTAGAAAATGTAGTGCCATTGTCAGTAGCAGTGTTGCGAATTTATGAAACGTCAAAAAAATATCCTTGATGCAAATAATACTAGAAACTCATTATTGGTGCTTCCGAACGCGCCGTTTCTCAGTAGCTCAGGGTGCAAGAGTGGATTGGCCCACATCCCATAGGCTTGGCATCTCGCCAAACTTTCGCCTCCCCCCCTCCTCCCTCCATTGTCGTCGCTGACGCGTATCGCGACTTAATATCAGCTCTTCGATTCCCTCCTCGAAGATGATTTCGCTTATGCTTTTTAGTTAATTACCGCATCCGCAGCACTAAATAAATTCGCTCGTTCGTTGATCATCGGGTATGCATAAGCATTATCTCGCGAATTACACCGCGCCAAGAACCGCACTGCATCCTTTGACATTTAGCACCGCGCCGCGTCGATCCGCACTTTCGTACTCGTCGGATTTCGACGTTAAGCGGCTATTCCGCATGAGTGTTTTTCAACACGTACGTAAACATACATAGGGTGAAACCCCGGGACTGTAATTTCATCGTTCGACCTTAAATATGAGACACGTGTCATGGACGCGCCAAGTATCTAATCTGTCCCCGAGCTCTCGCAGATATCCTACGGAATGCCGCGTGTGAGTTATGGCGGCAGCCGTAAACAGATCGTAAAGATTTTATGAACTCCGAGATCGCTCATGACGCGTGTCGTCCTTCCCTCGATACCACAGAGATGCTAATCGCCTCTGCCTTCTGTCGTGATTTCAGCCCCACGGTTTGGTGTACGAGAGCGTCGGCGTCTTCTGCCCGAACGATCGGCTGGAGCTGCTTCGCCTTCTTCGAGAGGAGGACATCCTGATAGACTGGTCGAGACCTTTGTACATTAATTTCGTTCATAACGACATCGCCGAGGAATTAACGCGCCTCTACGAAGGTACCGGTATCATCGAAACGGTGGTGGGCGACGTCTTCGCCTGCTTCGAGCAGCAGGAGAGCGAAAAGCCGGACGAGATGTCCGATCCTGACGTCCAGGTGCGGCCCCTCAAAGCCGAACACGCCGAGGGAATCCACGAATTGTATCCGGCGAACGACATGGAGTGTCACGAGGTTTTCCTTAGACTTATCAGAACCCTACCCGCGGCCGGGGTGTTCGAGAAGGGTAGCCTGGCCGCCTGGATGGTTCAATCTTACTACGGGGCTATGTTCTCCATGCAGACCAAGCCGGAATATCGTAGAAAGGGTTATGGGACGAAATTAGCAAGGTAGGAAAGAGCTCTCGTAATACTATATATCTCTCGAACTTTGTAATATTTTTTCATTATAGCATTCGCAGCCAATAATAACGGTTAACCCGAGAATTGTAGTTATTTTTATAAATATACATATACCCCCGATTTATTTATGTCAATTAAATGTTATATTACGCGATAATTGTTATGTACACGTCGAAGTTAAGACGCATGATATTTAATTAAATGTACGTCTGACATTTCAGGTACCTGACAAAACGCGTAACCGAGAAAGGGTATTATCCGTTTGTAGTTATACGTCCAGAAAACGAAGCTAGCCAAAGTCTGTACAAGAAGCTGGGCTTCAAACGGCTTTACCAACTCGTTCGAATGATCTTTATGCCTTTCACGTGGCAGGAGAACGAGAACGACGCGAATATTCTCAGGGATAACTTGGAGAACGCCGTGAGACAGCTCACAATCGAGCAGAGGGTAATAACGGCGTTACGGGGTCAGGAGGAGAGCGAGGAAACGATACGAGATCCCGCGGGAAGTATGGAAGGCAAGCCGATCGTCGACAAGTCTGAGGGAGACGAGATCGAGGAGGAGGAGGAAGATAAGAAGGCGGAGGAGGAGGAGGAGGAGGAGAAAGAAGAAGAAGAGGAGGAGGAGGAGGAGGAGGAAGAGGAGGAGGAGGAGGAAGAGGAAGAGGAGGAGGAAATTCTCGAAACTATCGAGGAACAATCCGAAGAGAGGATAGACATCGCGGAGGATAACGCGGGGGACACAACAAACGAAGATACGCCGGACATTGTGGAAGTTAACGGCTCTTGCGAGACGGATGCTGCGAACGGTGACGACGAATAAATTTCTAGAGAACGTTTATGCGATAAACGACGGTCCATAATTCACGTTTTGTTTGCTCGAAGACACGCTCTTCGCCGTGGAACATTTGACAAACGGCAAAGTATTTAAGAAAATTACCGAACGGAAATTACCGAGTGCCGAAAGTTTCTTAGATAGAAATGGTACGCAGGACTTGCTGTATATATATCCTTCCTAACAGTTGTTTGAAATCTGCTTAGTTCGATAGAAATAAACGTCCATTTGTAGATGATTTATATGAATTATATTCACATAATAATGACTCACGGCGAATGATGATGTAACATTACTTTTGAATTATTATCGAGGAATATACATTGAACATATGGCATTTACAAAACAACAGCACCAGGCGTATTGTACGGGATTTTCAGTTGTACATAGCGACATGTGTACGTATGTGTGAGGGGAGCTGCCTTCTTCGAGCGATAGAAACGAAAGAAGAGAGAGAGAGAGAGAGAGAGTCAAAGATAGAAAATATTTTAAGAGATTTCAACATTATATGGCACCGCGTTCGTGCGAGGCTTCAATATTTTCATACGTGGAAAGATAAAAAGTTCCCCGTATGATTCCTCATATCAGACTCTTTCCAAAACGTGAAAATCTCAGGTACTGAATAGCTACGTACACTTGGGTTGCCAATGTTATATCACGTTAAAGTCTATCTTGTATCGTTCTTCTATTACGTTGATAAATATATAATTTGAGGAAAAGAGATCGTCGATGTTATCAATGATGCGTCATAGAAATGCGTTCGGAAACGCGTCTGTTTATATATATAAATATATTCAAATATTTCTAAATAAATTAAATAGAATTATCATGTAGAGATTTATGTCTATATGCGTTTTATCTATTTGTTGCGTGTTTCTCGTCTGACGTCAACATTATTTATGACGTAAAGAATATACATACATATGTGGCGGATGACGATGTATAATTATTAGGAAATTTTGTATCGGTGTTTTCTACATCGTTATCGAGTTCTATAAATCTCGTAAATTTTACGTATTGATTTTTAGCTATTTAAAATATAAATAGACTTTGTTGTGCGAGCTGGGGAGATAAGGGGGGGAGTTAGACTTAACTGTTTCATGAGTTTACAAGTCTAAATCGACACGAGTAGCTGTGAGCGCGCTAGTTTTCATCAAATGCGAAGATCCGAAAATCTGCGAGGTGACTCAAACTGTGATTATAATTTTCATGTATAAAGTAGAATCTCGAGAGAAAAATATGACGAAGCCTCGTGCGATCTCGACACGCTTTTCTCGACATATAGAAGTAATTTGCTGTGTCGGTGCAGATACAAATTATGTGCGAGTCGTTTTCGACAGGAATTCGTCACGCTGATATCTATCTGATATTCCTCAATATGTACACATTATTTCATAATTTACATATTATAGATATACCAAGAGACACAGTTTTGTTATAGAAAAAAAAAAACGCTTTGCTTCGCGACCGCGGAAAATTAACGAGTATAATTTTCTGTACGTTTTATGCACCGTCACAGCGATTACCTTAGCGTGCGAGTTAATAATAATGATAATATTAATGATAACGATAGAGCATAATTAATATTATTATTAATAATAACGATTATACATATATAAATAACGCGCAAAAGGGGAGTCCGATCGGCTCGGCTCCGTTCCCGAGGGACCCCGAGATCTTTAGATAGCCACTATTTGTATAATTTTTTCTACGTTTCATAGGTGACTTATCAATAAATACAAGACGGGTAACGTGTAAGAAATCGGTTCCGAGTGGGAACGGAGTTGGGACGAGCGCGTGACTCCGCGTAAGGCCCCCCTCCCCAAAATCCCTCGTTTATTTTTGATTTTGATATTATGCCGGGGGCCAGCTGTGATACTTTACTCAATCCACTTACACCCTGGTCGTACCAGGTACCAAATCGGTACCAAATCGGTACCAAATCTAGTCTAGGCGAGGATCAACCATCATTAGCGGCGCGTTAGGACTCGATAAAACTCCATTTATCTTTTGCGCGTTGCGTTATCTCGACGTCGATTCCGAATCGGACAGAGAGAGAGAGAGAGAGAGAGAGAGAGAGAGAGAGAGAGAGAGAGAGAGAGAGAGAAGAGAGAGA